ACAAACTTCAAAGTCAGTTCTCAAAAAGCCAGAAAAGTAAAAATAAAAACAACAACAAAAACCCCAAACCAGAAAACACCTCTTTAAAAACCAGCCCCGACTTCATGTGTCTTGCCATGGCCCCACTGGGAGCTGAGGTGTGCATGCAGTTGGGCCGCTGTCTCTAACTCTGGACTGTTCACCCCTGACTGCGGGGACAGGGGACAGGGTAAGGGCAGCTTCTCTGCAGGAGCCACAAACACCGCGTGATTGCTCCTCAGTGGCCTGGCCTTCCAGGAGACTTCAGATCTACATGTGCATATACGCCCCCCCCCGCATATTTCTTCCCTTTCTTGGCAGGGTGTGGGTTCACAGTTGGGGGGACTAAACTGCATGTCCCCTTGCCCTCCTGGCTGCCGCTGGGTGCTGAGTTTGTGCAGTGTCCTGGCTGAACTGCCCCGCAGCCCAGGGCCCCTCTGCTGGTGCCACCCCCAGGAGGCCACAAAGTATGCCCTGAGCCAGGAAGTCTTGCTGACGTCTTCATGTTCTCAACGCAGTAGGTGCTCAATAGGTGCTGACTGTCCAAGGAAAAGTGAGTCTTCCTCTTGGATCTGGACACCCAAGGCCCAGCCAGCCCTCCACAATCCCTTCAGAGGACTTCTCCATGGATTTCTGCAGAACTCCAAGCTCGGCCCACGATGGGGCCTGGCCTCAGGGACCTGAGCTTGGCCCGCTCTCTGGGAGTGAGGATGGGAAGAAAGAGGAATGGCTCCTCAGCCTGACTTTCCATACGGTTGTGTCTGTGCGGCATTGGCCACGAGTTGGGCAGCTCGCTAGACACATTCACCATCCTGCAGGGGTCGCTCTGTCCGTGTCAGGGAGAAGGACACTGAGGCCCCGTTCTCCCAGGGCGTGGATCCACACCCAGGCCTGCTCTCGCCCACCTCAAAGGACGGACAGCACGGCCACACTGCACCCTGAGTTGGCCCCACGGAGGACGCAGGAGACTGCCGTGTGCCTCTCCGTTGTCCGCCTTGCCCAGCTGCCTGGGTGAAAGCAGCGGCTCCTCAAAGCGAGGCCAGGGTCACCAACCGGCACTAGGTCGGGAGCTGGCTGGGTCTGGGGCCTCACTGTGGTCATCCGTGTGTGCTGGGCCGAGTCTGGGGACGGGCTTCGGTCCTGGGCATACACACAGACTTGGGGGCGTCTCCTGACCCAAACCCCCAGGCCCAGATGGGAGGTCTGGGTGAACAGAAGGCCTTGCTCTGCTCTGGCTTGTGGGAAATGACCCTCAGCTCCTTCCTGGGACGGGGACCCACCACAGATTTGAGGCAGGAGGGTTTCCCACCAGCTGTTCAGGACCCAAGATGGCCAAGTGGGACCCCAGTCCTTCTCCCAGCTGGAAGAGGGGTGGGGATCATTTCCTCATCTTTCAGCCAGGGTGAGAAGAGCCCTTCCTTCCTGCCTGCCCTGGGCAGGGTCCAAGGCACACGGAGCAGAGTCAGAGCCCAGCCTCCCAGAAAGGCTCTCTGGCGGGGATGTGACCCACCTGGCCCTGCTCAGACCACACCTCAGTTCCCACATCTGTGGAGTGGCCACAACCTCCTGCTTCCACGCCCCTCTTGGGTGGCCATGGCCGTCGACACTCCGGGTGCTGTGGAAATGCTGAGGGCCGGATCTGCTGCTTCCAGAGTTCCCGCATCAACTCTCGACTACCAAAAGCCAGGAGCTGAGGGAAGATGGCCTGCCCTGCCGGGTCCTACAGCCTCCTGTGGCTGGGCCAGGCCGGAGTGCTGGGCTGCAGGTCCACGTGGTTCCCTCCCCACCCCTGGGCTGAGTCCAACCCTGTTTCTCTTCCTCAAGCCTTGCTTGGCTGACACGTAGAAGTCTTCTGACTTGGCCGTGTTGCGTGTGGCTGGGTGTCTTTAAACCGACCTTTCCGACATCCCTGACCAGCACGGCAAGAGTGGTGGCCCCAGGGTCTCTCTCTGCCCTGAGTCCCAGTGTGCCCTCGAGTCCTGTGCTCATCGCACGCCCACAACCACCCCTGCCCACAGCAACCCTGTGCAGGCACCTCGCACACACATAGGCAGCGAGGAGCAGGCACACCCGGAGAGTGGCCCGTGCCACACGTGTGCGCACACAGGCCGGCCCCAGGTGGTGTCTCTCCTGGCCAGGCCTGGAGCCAGTCAGAGCCGTTCTTCTGGAAGGGCTCCCAGCTCGCTTCCTCCCAGCCTTCACTGCTGCCTCCAAGTGGCGAGGGGATGCAGCTGGTCCCCTGGCCCATGCAGGATCTTTGTCCCGTGACCCTCAACGGGGCCAGGGCTGGAGAGGTGACCTCGCTTGGGAACGACAACCACAGCACAAATGACGGCTAGGCATACTTGACTGGCTACGACTGAGCCAGCCATGCTCTGAGGCTTCCGGACAGTGACTCTCTCATGGCGGCTGGGGAAACCCAGGCCCACGAGTCGTGTGGCCAGGGTCTGACAGCTCCTGCAGTCTGACTCTGGAGTCGTGACGCTGTGCCAGGGGCTCTGGTGGACTTGGCGTGCTGGGGGTGGCCTGGCCGGGGCGACCAGAAGCATGGCCTCTCGCTGGGCCCAGGCTGCTCCACACGCGGCAGCAGGCACTGCTGTGTTCTCCCACCACTGGTGCCTGCCCGTGCTGGCCACTCTCGCAGACGAGGCTGCCCAGGGCTGCCCTGGCACAGGACCCAGCGGCCAGACGCCTGCGTGAGTAGTGACTCCTGCAGGCAGGTGCTCTCCACGGGGCTCGGTTCTGGGTAGCCTGGCTGGGAAGCGGCAGGGGGGCCCCTGGGGCTCTGGCCAGCACCAGCCACGACTCGACTGACCCGGGGCAGGCACGAGGCCCGGTCATCGCTGCTCCCCGGTGCTGGCTGGGTCCTTGCTGTTGGGAAGGCAGGGCTCTCGTGCCACTGGAAGGAGCATCAAGAGGCTAGCCCTGCCCAAGGAAGACTGGGGCCGGAGCACACAGTCGTGCGCTGCAGCCAGGGCCAGAGCCTTCCTTCTGAGTCCTGGGATGTCAGAGGCTCCCGGAGGTGCTTGTGGAGGGGCCTCCCCCAGCTCTGCTCGTGGCCACCTCACCGGCCCCAGCTTCGCGTCCGTGGTGGGTCCTCCCTGGGTGCACGTGGACGTGCAGAGCGGGGCAGTTGTTCTCAGGGACCCGCCTCCAGGACTGATGACGCGCCAGCCAGGGAGGGGGGTGCTGCCCCGGGGCTCACGTCCTCTCCACAGGTGCACCGCTGTCACCAGCTCAGGCTCAGCGTGGGAGAGCCATGCTGAGTGAGGGGGTCACGCCGCTGCTGGGGACCTCGGGGCCCCCACCCGGTCCAGAGTTTGGAGTCCCATCTCTCGGGCTGCCCAGCCCGGCACCTGCCCAGGATGGCTGCCAACACTGCGTCTCGCTCTGGAGGTCGCAGGGGGCCTCTCCCTGACCCGGGGCCTGGGCTGCTGCCTGGATTAAACACCCTCCTGGCATTGCCCCCACCTTCCTGGGCGGTCTGGGATCTGTTCCTGGGTTTCACTTTTAATTGCAGGCCCAGATAACTCAATCTGTCCAGGCCTTCTTGGCTCAGAATCCTCAGATGACAATGGTAACTGTGACCCTAATCAGAACAGCCGTCATTCAAGGCTCCACCCCTCATGCGGACACGGGCCTGGGCACGTGGCTCTAACAGAGAACAGACAGCGAGGTCCTGACTGTGGGGACCTGGGGTGGGTGTGGCTAGCCACAAGGGCCTCAGGTCCCCAGAGCTACTGCCACCCGACAGGGCTGGACAGGGCCCCCAGGCCTTCTGGGGGCTTTGTCCGGGAGGGGAGAGGCAGGGTCTGCCGCATCGCACCAACTCAGACAGAGGCCCTGGCCACGGCCTACAGAGGCCCCAACAGTCCAGGGACTCTGAGCTGCATTTCACAAGGCCCCTGGGAAAATCAGTGGTTCTCAACCTGGGGTGATTCTGCCCCCCAGGGGGCACCTGGCAATTTCTGGAGACACCAATGACTGTCATGATTGGGAGAGGAACCGCTGGCATGCCGTGGTAAAGGCCAGGGATGCTGCTAGACAGTCTGCTGCGCCCAGGACAGCACCCGGGGCAGAGTCACTTGGCCCAGAATGTCAATTGTGCCGAGGTTGAGAAGCCCTGGGTTAAACCCTCATGCTGGCAACTGGCAATGGATTTCTGGTTTTTTATTATGGCAAAAAAATTGTAATAACAATAACGAAAAAACAAAAGCAAAGGAAAAGAAACTCAACTCAAAAAAACCGAAAAATCAGAAAGAAAGAAAAAGGGTCTGGAACAGAACAAGCTGAAGGAGGCAGTGCTGCTGGCGGGCAGGTCTGGGCCAGAGCCCTGAGGCAGGGTGGGGCGGGCTGGGCAGCCTTGGAGGCTCTTCCCAAGACAAGGGTCATGCCAGGCTCCCGGGTGGGGGCAGAGTGCTGGGTCTCCCCACAGCCTCCTGCTTGCTGTGCCGCAAGGCGGGTAAACCACCCCAGGCAGCCCCTGGGGCCTCCTCCTGGAAGAAGCTGCCTGGCTGCAGCACACCCTCCTCTACGCTCTCAGGCAGCACCCACAGGCAAGCAGGCTGCGGGGGTGGGGGGTGGCGGACAGCCCGCGGGGTCTGCCCGCACCTCCTCACTCCTCCTGCCGGCCGCGCAGAGAGGTTGGGCTGAGGATGCCGGTAGAAGCCCCCTGCTCCCTGGCGCTCAAGGGGCCCCATCCCTGGACATCTGGGAGGCCCATGGGGTACTTAAGGCTTAAGGGTTAAATGGCTGGCAGCAAATTAAACACACACAGAAACAAACAGCCACTGCCATCACAGTTCCCTCAGGGCTTTCCCAGACACCCTGGAGTCAGCTACGGCAGCCATGGCGATGGCCTCTGGGCTGGACAGAGACCGGGTTTCCCAGGAAAGGAGGCCCGGCAGGGAAAGCAAGACTGGAAGCAGGGGAAGGGGGATCCAGACTGCTTGGAGGGCTTCACACAACTCCATTCATCAGCATAGAACATGGGGACATGGCAGCGCAGAGAACACGGGACACACCCACCTGGCTTGCTCTGTCTTAGAGCGACTTCTACACAACAACAAAGGAGTAAACAAACCCAAGAGAAGAAAAGGAAAACGGTCGCCCTCCCCAGCTGCTCCGCACAAGGCCCCTCTCCCTCTGCCTGTCTGGGACACCCTCTCTGTGCTGCTTTGGCTGGGAAAGGTCTCGGCTCAGGAGTCCCGCAGGCCTCCGCCTCCGGGGCCCTGCCACCACTGCCGGCCTCCACCACAGGCCCTTCCTGGTGCCCAGCGCATGCCCCAACGGCAGACGCCCTAGCCGAGTCCTGCGTGCATTGGGCTTGGAAGGTGCTTCTGGGCCAAGCTCTTACCCGCTTCCGAGAGGTCTCTCAGAGAGCTGCTGAGGGCGCTGCGCTTGAGGCCCTCGCCGCTGGCATAGCTGTCGTCCAGGCAGGCTCGGCCCAGTGTCCCGTTGCCCGGCTCCTTTTTGAGGCTGGAGCACTGGGACATGCTGGGCCGCACGACGCCCTTCTGCTTCTCGAGTTCAGCTGGAACAGAGAAGGTGGGGCCAGGTGAGGGAAGCGTGGGGTGGGTAAGCGACGCAGGGGCCTCTGGCCTTGGGTTTGGGGCGAGCACCGTCCGGCTCGCCGTCTGCCCGAAACAGGGACGGCTTGCTTTGGGGAGCGACAGCGATGCCGCCCTAGACCAAAGGGTAGAAAGGAGGCCCCGGGAGGGAGGCTGGCGAGGTCAGAGTACCTTGGGACCAGCAGGAAAGTAAATCGCCCTCCAGGCCCGGAGCAGACAGGAGGGCCAGGACTTTCTGGGTCTGGGAGGTTAGCAGGGGCAGCCAGGGCCTTGCACAGGAGGCAGAGGCGGGGCCGAGGACAGCCTTGGCGGCAATCCGTCAGTGCAGCCTGGTGCAGAAGACGACGAGATATGGATCATGCCGAAGGGCAGAGAGCTCGGCTCCAGAGCTCTGGCTGCTCCTGCCACAGGTGGCCAAGGAGCCCAGAGGCCTCCCAGGCACCCCCATGGACAACAGCGAGGGTGGGGCCTGGGAATGAAGGCCAGCCTTCGTGTGGACGTGGGGGAAAGCAGAAAAGCCGTCAGGCCACCTCATCTCGGTGGTGCCAGAGGCGTGAGCGGCATCGCAGTCTCCGGCCTCGTCACCACCACGGGATGGAGGGTGACTTTGCCTGGTCCCGCGGGGCCACCAGCTCCCCCACACCAGGAGGTCTGGGACTCACACTCTATCCTGTGCTTCTCCATCTCTTGCACTTCGGCGACGGACTCCCGCAGGTCATCAGTGAATTTCTTCCGGTCCTGAGGGTTGGGAGCGTTGAAGTTTATTAACACTTTGATGTCCGCTCCGGGGACAGCAGACGTGAGCCGGATGCCATTGGGGTAGTCTGCAAAGGGGAAGGAGAGGGGAGGAGGCCCGGGGATCTCAGTGTGTTCTCTGCAGTCTCCTCTCTGGCCAAGAAAATTATGATAAGGCTGAGTTCTGCACGGGTGTGAGAGAAGTGCCCAGAGCCTGGTCTCAGCAGTGGCAGAGTGAAGGGCCGTGAAACAGCTTTATCTCCCGACCTGGGGCTGTGCTGCTTCCCACGTAGGTTCGGGGCAGTCGTGGCCCATCTGAGGGGCCTGCTGCCAGGTCCCTCATTCCTCCCCAGGCTGCAGGCCAGGCCTTTATTTGTCCTTGGCCACTCTGTCAGGGCAGAGTCCCAGAGGACAGAGGTGGCATCCTGAGCTGGGCGAGGTGCCCTGTCCAGCCAGCCACTTCAGAAAATTCTGGACAACAGAGTGAGTGCTGTCCTCTCCCAAACGGCAGCTATGGGCACCCCACTTCCAACGCACCCTGTGCCCAGACCTGCCTGGTGCCACCTCCTGGCTCTCAGGGCTCCCGAGACCTTGGTCGCCTGGCAGTGGCGCCCCCTGCAGCGGGAGTCACCGAGCACGCCAGTGGATGTGTGAGGGCTCTCGCTCTAAGGCCAAGTCGCCTTCGCCCCCGCCAGGCAGGGCAGCTGGACAGCAGCGGCTGAAGAGTGCTGGTGTGTGTGTGCACGTGCAGCGCACCACTGCCACGGGGGCACATGTGTCTAGTGTTCTCATCTTTGTCTTTGGAGAAGCCCGACAGTATCTGAATTTGATGTGCAGTTTAAAAGATAGGCTCAACAAGTTTTATGTGCAAACCACACCAACATAACTGAGCCGCAACTGCCCACGGGCTGCCAGTCTGAGACTCGAGCATGAAGGCACTTCGCTACTGCAGGGTCGGCCCCTGCCAGTGTCCAGGCTCTCGGGCCAAGCCCTGGCAATCCACACATGACCCGGGTGCAGCCTCTGCCTCGAGGCCTCACCGTGGTCCCGGCTCCCAGCTGGGAGCTCTGCTGCAGGACCTCATGAACGCTTCCCCCTCCCCCAGGAGGAGGGCGAACACCACCCTTTCAGAGAGCAGGCTGCTGCTGGTCAGGACAGTGGGGCCGGCACCCTCCCCGGGCACGTGGGTGGGACACCAAGGCAAGGCCTGACTTCCAGCCCGGTGTGGGTAGACAGAGCGGGAGCGGGGAGTGGCCCAGGGCAGGTCTCTCGGGCTCCTGTGGGAGTGTGAGGAGGAGGGCGCACATGGAGTGCAGGCGCCCCCCGTCCCACCAAGGACGGAGACTGGGCAGAGAGGCCCAGATCCAGGCTCTCAGGCCCGTGTTTCTGCACGGCCCGGCTTCAGGTTCCTGACACTCTTGGGACTGTAGGTGGAAGGCTGTCTGGATCGATGGAGATGGTGACAACCCGAGACAGTAAGGGACCCCTACCGCTCACTCCATGTGAGCCCCTTCCCATCAGGCCACTCCAGAACGCACAGAGCAGCAGACCCCGCCACCCAGCCCGGGAGGGCCTCTGACAGGGCAGGGGCGAAGGAGGGGCAGGAGAAGGGGTGGGCGGGCAGAGGAGCCAGGTCCAAAGCAAAGGCCCGTGGAGGGCTGCGGGGATGAGCCAGCATACCCCAAACTCGCCCAAGGCTGCGGCGGTCCCAGAACCCCGAGAAGATCCTCCAGCAGTGCACAAACCCCACCCGCACCAAGCACTCACGGCGTGCCAGGATCACGCAGGGGCTTTGCGAGGAAGAGCTCACTCCCGCTTGGAGGCGTCCCTGCTGCCACCCCCACTCTACAGCCCCAGGAACAGAGGCCCACGGGGTCAAGGATCCCCGCCACACCGCTGCCGAGCGCCTGACTCGGATCCGAACCTGGACGGGGCCTCAGCTCCGCGCATCTAGGCTTGCTCAGGGAGTGGCTTCCTCTGTCTTAGGCCACATTTGCGCATCACTTCGACTATTTACTCCGTGTTTCTCTATCAACAACTGGCTGAAGCCAATCCATTTCTACCATAAATTATGAGGTTTTGTTTCTTGGAAGAAGCAGACTAGGAATGTAAACTCATCAGCATCAATGCAATGTCATGAAACTCTTCCTAATGCCGATCGCTCGCTGGGATTCCTACCCTGCAGTGTGCTCTCTGTGGGTAAAGGAGGAATGAAGAAGCCTCCCAGTGCCCACCCTTTCTCCCCCCAGGCTCCGTCCTAGAAGCAGCCAGGAGACCAAGAGCCTGCCGGGGTCATGGGCTGTTCTGGGCCAACCCCAGGGGCAGACTCACACTGGTTCTCAAAGAGCAGGACCTGCATGCCATACAGGGAGAAGGACTGCCGGAAGCTGTATGTCACCGAGTTCTTCTTCTTCTGGAAGATCTTGGTTACCTGGGTGGGCAGAGACAGAGCTGAGTCATGGCGTCCGCAACAGTGACTGCCTGCGGCCTCCAGCCCAAAGACTCTCTCAGAGTTCAGAGTCAAAAGGCTCTGGGGCAGGGACAAGCCGGCAAGGGGCGGGAAGCGTGCCCTTTCACACTGAGACGTGGACATTGGATCCTGTCCCTGCAGGCCCCCAACGCCATCCTAGCTGGCGGCAAGACCCCACAACACGGCAGAGAGGCACGTGACCACACAAAGCCCTCTCAGGCACCTTTTCCAAGTCAGGTAAGGCGCGCACATCTGGGGCTCGGCACCATGGAGGACAGAAATAGGGAGCCAGTGCTCAGCAGCACTGACCCCAGGAAAAAGCCATGGCTTCCTCTCTCGGGAACAACCAAACTACAGGGCCAAAACTGATGACACCCCGCAGTGGGCATGGCCCCTGGGCTAGTCTCATATCCCTGTACCACTGCCAAGGCCCCACCATGGTGCCTGGCTGCCATGCTGGTTGCAGGTAAGGGAAGGAATTTCCAGTCTGGCAGCCAAAGGCTGGGATGAAAGGAGGAGGCGGAGCTTACAGCCCCCCTATGTGTGGCACATGCCCGGCCCCAAGAAAGAACCTCACGACCACTGCAACTCTCTGAGGGACTCACCATGCCAAGGAGGAACTAGGGCTCAGAGCTGTGAAGGGACGTGCTCAAGGCCAAGGGCTCTTAATAAACGATTTGAACCGACATATCCAAACTTCAGCCTCAGTAACAAGAGAGGAAAAACCAATCTTCACATCCAATCAAGCACAAGTTCTCCCTTCTGTCTGATGTGGGCATCTCTATCCCTGCCTGGCTAGCATCCATGCCACCTTGTTTCTGGCAAGAGCTCCTCAATTTTCCTTTGTGGACCCCAGTTACCCTTAAGACTGTTAGCCCTGGGGGACCAGACTGTACTCCCAGTTCCAAGGGGTGGGTCTTCTGACCCAGGTCTAGCCAATCAGAAAGCACTGCACTGGCCTGACCACAGCAAGCAAGGGGGATTAACCCTGAGACCTCAGTTCGATCTAGGAAGAGGCTTTGGCTGGGTGCTGAATAGACAGGGTTAGGCCAGGAACTGCTGGGGCCCTCTCTCCCTCCTGGACAGGCCTCTAAGAAAGGCCCTGCACCGCACAGAGGTGCAGATACCACAAGGAGCTCTGCTGACATCACTGCGGCTATGCAGACAGCTGGGGCTGAAGCCATAGTTGCCCCTCGACTTGGCCACAGCCAACAAAGTCTCGTTTCCACAGGCATCCACGTCCACTGTTCTCCTTGTAAACAAACTTCCCTTCCCCACCCCACGCACGTGCACATCTCACCCCATGCTGACACACGGCTGGATGGAGACCCAGGGCACCCAATACCAAGGCGCTCGGCCACAGGGCCCCACGGGTGGGCCACGTACCACCAGGAGGTCGTTGAACAGGAAGATTTCTCGCTGATGCAGTCCAAGCTTCTGGGGTTTGTTTGGGTCTGGAACCTCGAAGAGCCTGCAGTAGCAGACCAGGCGACGATGGGGCAGAGAGAGCACCTGTGCGGGAAGAGGCCGTCCTGCTGTGGCCACCCAAACCCTCTCTGGGGCACTGCGGGCTGCAGAGAACAAGTCCAGCCCTCCGAGCTAGAAAAATCAGCCTGCAGGCTTCGTGTTCGAAAGCACCTTCCCCCGCCCACCGTGCCAGGCAGATGCATCTTCTGGCTGCCAGCAATTTCCCCACTCTGTCCTGGGAGCTGTCTTCCAAAATCCCCTGCCCCTGTTTCATAGAGAACCATGGGAAGTGCCCCTGCTTCTGCTGAGACCCCCCCTTCCTTCTTTCGGGCAAGCACCAGACTTCTTAAAACATCACACTCACATGGGAACTACTGGCCAGAGAGGGGGTCACATTTTCAGAGTACCCACAATGTGCCAGTCGCACACCTAAGTCCATTTATCCCTGCAAAAAGTCTTTCCAGAGAATTTACTCAAGATGAGGCACAAAGAGCTTGAGTAATCCGGCAAAAGCAAGCACTGTACATCCAGGGTCTAATTCTAGACCTCAGGATTTTTCCCACTCTTCTAGGCCTCGCCAGAAGATTCCAGCAGTCCTAATGCTTGAAAGACCCTGAGGGAAGCCGGAGGCAGCAGCCGACACTCTGTGGGAACTGCCCTGGCCTCATCCTCTGCTCTGCGCACCTGCCCCTGCACACGCCCACCATGGGTTCACACGAGGCCTTCAGCCCTGCCGCAGTTCAAGCCACCTCCAGGCTTGACCAAAGGTGGCCAGCGTCTCAGGCCCGAGGGGACAAACCACCAGCCAGGCCAGGCCCCGCTCTGGGAGGACACAGGCCCACACGGAGAGGGGCGAGCTAGTAAAGACATGGGATGCACTGGAGCCGATGCCCTTGAAGACGGGGCCGGGGAGACTCTGCCTGGGCTGCCCTGAGGCGGGCTGCCTGAGCTCAGCACATCAGGGGACAAGCCCAGAGGCGGGAAAAGGAAAAGCACGGCCCAGCCTGGAAGGCTCAGCGAGCGACACTGAAGGAGAGAGGATGCAGGATGAGGTGCAGGGACAGGGTGGGCTGGGCAGGCGCTGGCTCTCGGTCTCCCGCTGGGAACGGCCGCGAAGGGGAGGGTCGGCAAAGCGGCTTGTGGGCCGAGGGCTGAGACCAGACCCCCGAGGGCGGGCCCGCCATGTGCATGTGCGCTCCAGGGCGTGTGGGATGCGGCCATGGTGGTCCTGGGGTGCGGGGCAGCCCTGGGAGAGTCTGGGTGTGGGTGTGAGGGCCCAGAGCATGGGGCAGCAGGCAGAGCATGCAGAAGCCACACCAGGTGGCCCGGTTCAGGCACAGGGGCTGGGGGCCAGGGCTCAATAGAGCCCAGGCAAGAAGGCGGCAGGCGTCTCGCCACGCTTGGCCTAGCCACACGGCCTCCCTGCCTGACTGGGGCCTCAGGGACTGCGGAGGGTCAAGGTGAGGCAACGACAAAAGCCAGAATCCTTTGTGCCCCAGAAATGAATGCCAGCAGCCAGAACTCTGGCTCTGGGAACCTGGGAAGCCGCAGAGGGCTGAGGACAGCAAGCCTCTCCAGGGTTGGCTCTCAGCTGGAACATCCAAGCGGAGGAATACTTACACAGCCAAGCCCGTGATGCAGGGATCCGATCTATGGGAAAACGTGACACAAACAAAAAAGGGCATTAATGTTGCAAAGACACACCCAGGCCCCTCCAGGGAGCAAACCGGAGATGCACAGCCGCACGCCTCCTCTCGAGTTCCACCTGCCAGGACGTGGGGGCCCCGCTCTTGTCAGCAGAGGTCCCTGAGGGGCTCTGCGGGGTTCCTAGGCCACAAGGAAAGCCCACCAGAGTCGGGGGCCCGGAGCTGAGCCATGCCCACGCCTGGCCTGTCCGCTCACGAGGGGCCTTGGTTCTCCTCCGATGCAACCCAGAGCAAATGGCTGCTATCCCCAAATACGAGAGGAGCCACTTAGAGACACCCCAGCCCCTGCTAGAATCACCAGGCCTGCCTGGAAGAAGACTCGTTCCAAATGGCCTTGAGGCCAGCGGCTGGAGTGGTGGCTTGCTGGGGCCACACAGAGGGGGGTGGGGTGGGCGAGAAGGCCTCCCAGGCAGCCCATGGGAATGGCAGCCCGGGGCCACGACATACCGGCTTCTTCCCCACAATGAGCTTCTCCACCTTCTGCACCTGGGACACGTGGTCCTCGTTGGTCTTCAGCTCTCGCTTCCGGATCCGCTCGTAGATCCCAATCAGCATCTCCCGGGGAATGTCCTCGCCATCATCCACACCTGGGCCAGGGGAGTGGCTGGATGTCAAGGCGGGGCCCCCGGTCTGAGGCAGGCCAGAGCAGTGAGCCTTCCACCTGTCCCCAAAGACCTTTCAGGCCCACAGCTACGAGCAGCTCCAGCCAATCACAGATCGCCCGGGGTCTCCAGCCCGCAGGGCCAGCAGGTTACAAGCGAGGCCCAGCCATCTTCTCAGCTGTGTCCCGAGGGCTTTGTAAATACCAACTCGCTCCATCCTAACAGCAGCCTGTGAAGCAGGCATGCGGTTCCCATTCTCACAGGTAGGGAAGTGGACGCGGGGGTGTGGGGAAGCTGGGGTTTCTGAGCCTGGGCTGAGAGACCTGGGACCAAGTCCTCGTTTTGTCCCTTCCCAGCTGCGTGCCCAAGGGGAGTGACGTGTCTCCCAAGCCCGGTGTCCTTCTCTGTAACAGAGGCCAGGAGAACGAGGGGGCCTTGGCGTGCCAGGCTGGGGAGGTGCTCGAGGTGAGCACGGCAGTGGGTGCTGTCGCCGCCCCACATCACGTGGGCAGAGGCGAGGGGCCAGGATTCCACCTAAGCTGCTCTAGCCACCAGCACCTGCCCTATCTCCTACACCACCTGAAAAACGGCTGTGAGAGAAGAAACTGAGCTGAGCTCACAAGGGAAATGCCAACTCGCCTCCCACTGAGATCCATCTCCCTCCTCCAACTGGCAACAGATCCAAGGGCCGCAAGGCTGCGGGAGGTGGGCCCTCACATGCCCGATGGCAGGGTGGGGAAAGGGGCCAGCCCCAGGATGGGCAATCAGACAGCACCTGTCAACATACAAGTGCTAATGCCCTCTGGCCACTGACTGCACCTAGGGGACTTATCCCATGAGAAATGAGACACATACCAGCTTATACATTGCAGCTCTGTCTCCAAGGAGTCAAGGGCTGGAAGTAACCCAGGTGCCCATTAGCAGGGGACTGTCAAACAATCAGCCTACACCAGCCCAAGTTACTTACTATGCACCATCTGGGAACACAGAGGCAGGCCACAGTGAACTGATGCGGGACTTGAGTAAATGGGTAAAGCAAGGTTAGAGCAGAAGAGGGCAAAACCACCCATGTGCATTTGAACTTGCTTGAGCAGAGCGCTGCTGACGACCTCCGGGGCAGAGGGTGTGACCGGGGCGGGGGCAGGGGGAAACTCTGGGACTTTTAGTACTTTCTGGGACTTTTGTTTTAAAATAGACTTTAAGAGCAGTTTTAGGTTCACCGTAAAATTGAGCAGAATGTAGAAAGTTCCCATGTGCTCTCTGCCCCCACCCACGTACAGCCTACCCACTACAAACACCCCACCAGAGGGGTCCATTTTTCTTTTTTTACAAGGGATGAACCTGCATGGACACGTCATGATCACTCAGTGTCCATATGTACACGAAGGCTCCCTCTTGATGTACATTGTGTAGGGCTGGACAATGTATATAATAGCACATGTCCACAGTTGCAGCATCTCACAGAAGAGTTCTGCTGCCCTAGTAATCCCCTCTGTTTCCCTATTCTTTCTCCCCCTCCTAGCTCTGGGAACCACTGACCCTTTCACTGTTTCTGTAGCTTTGCCTTTGCAAACTGTCATAGAGATGGAATCACACACTTTAGCCTTTTCAGATTGGATTCTTTCACCTAATCATGTGCACTTAAAGTTTCTTTCAAGTCTTTTTATGGTTGATAGCTCCTTTCTTTTTAGCACTGAATAGTGTTCCACTGTTTGGATGTCATACAGTTTACTTACCTGCAATTGACTTGTCCATTTTCACAACTAGAAATAAAACTGCCTAGTCAGGTGCACCTTAGTGGTGTGAACACTGCAGACAGGTTTTCCGTAGGCCCAAGATTTCAGTTCATTTGAAAAACACACCAAGGAGCACAATTGCTGGATTGTGTTACTTTTTGGTTTTCAAACTATGCAAAGATAATACCCATTCAAAAAATACACTTAAATTTTTAAAATAAGTTTTAATAAAAGGAAAATATAGGCCGGGTACAGTAGCTCACACCCTCGTAATCCCACCACTTTGGAAGGCTGAGGCGAGAGGATTGCCTGAGCCCAGGAGTTTGAGACCAGCCTGGGCAACATGGCAAGACTGCATCCCTACAATAAAACAAACAAAAAATTAATGTGGTGGTAAGCACCTATAGTCCCAGCTACTTGGAAGACTGAGGCAGAGGGATCGCCTGCATCCAGAGGCTCCAAGACTGAGGTAGCCGTGATTATGCCACTGTACTCTAGCCTGGGCAACACAGTGAGACTCCAACTAAAAAAAAAAAAGAGAGAGGAAAATACTCCTTATCTGGCTTCCATGCCGGTGAGCTAGTCCTCCTTCACCCATCCTCAGGCTCCGGGGGCTCTCCAGCTGCTGGACCCACTGAATAAACCGGAGTGAGGGATTCCAGAGAGAATGTGTGTTGGGGGCGGGGCTGGAGATTTTCCTCTCAAAAACAAGCTGAACATGTGCTTGGCACAGAGTGCCAGCCTGGCTTAGGGAACCAGGACCCCTCCTCCCTCTGCAGTTCACTTGATGTGTGACCCTAGGCCAGGACCTCTGAGCCTCGGTTGCTCCTTCTGAAGTCTAAGAAAGATGAGACAGAGCACTCCCAAATTCCTGGCTTGAAAAGAGGTGATTTGGAATAGCCCAGGCTTTGGAGACAGGACCAGCAGCTTGCTTCCCGAGATCGAGATGCTCAGTCGCTGCCCTGGGAAGTGGGGACACTAATACCACCCCATCCCCCAGACACAAACCACAGAGCCACTGCCATGAGGGCTGCTGACTGGCAAACCTCTGACTCAGCACCTTCTCTGGGGAATCAATTCTGGCTCCTCCTGTTAGTTCTCATACAGGGGAGTCCCAGGTTACAAGGGTGAGGTTCCAAAGCCAGAAAAAAAAAAAAAATCACAAAAACCCTCCAACTTCTCCTGGGTTGCCAACAGCATGCAGCACACAGCCCGATTTCCTGGCAGGGACAGAGCGGCTGGCCTCTTCCGGGGTCACGTGAGACTCTGTGACCATTAGAATCCGGCTCGGCTCTACGGAGAGAGAGGCTCGAGACAGGAGAGGCCCCAGGGTAGACAGGAGGCAACGTGGGCTTTTTAGCTCCATCTCCTGCACCACTAACCTGCCTGTTTTGGCCTCCACTCTCTCCTGGTGAGATGATTTGCCCCTAATGAGCTCCCAGCTTCCTTGGCTTCCCAGCAGCCACAGATATGACCCACCTTGGGTCCTGCGGTCCCATCAGACTCAGCAGTGGGGCACATGCTCAGTGCAGGCCACGGCCGCCCATGAGTCTGTGGGCTCCAAGCCACACCTCGGCCAGCCCAGGCCCCCTGCTGCTTCCAAGAGGAATGGGCGGAGACCACTCGGGTCTTGGAGTCAAGCTCCAGGCCATCCTGGTGGCCTCTCTGCTGGGGAAACATCGGGGTGTTTCTTTCGCTGTCCTGCTACAGCAGAACCGACCAGCAGGGGGCAGGCGAGGACGCCTTAAAACCCCCAGCAGGACCGCTGGGGAGAAGCGGGAGATACTCCCTGGGAGAAACATTCAGTCCAAGGAGAAGGGATGACAAAGCCACTGCTTTATAAAAATAAAGGAGAAAAGTGAAGAACTTTAAGTTGTTTGATGGCTCAACAAGCTTATAAAGTTGGACTTGATTCAGATCAGCTCTTCTGTCTTTTAAAGAACTATGACACCCTTTGCAAAGGGACCTCAGCTCAGTCTGTGTTCTCTCTCTCTCTCTGACATGGGGCCCCGGAGTCACCCTCAGCTCCCGCACGCAGTGCTCCCGCAGAGGGCGCAGTCCCCGCCCCTTTCCTTCTAGGGACTCCAGTGTACACACAAGGGACACGCCTTCGCTGACAAGGCGCCACCTGGGAGAAAGTCATGGGGAGAAGAAGGTCTCACTTCTTGGTGACCACGTCGTCCAAGCCTCCCGGCACACGCTCGTCTCCCCAAGAGGCCTGAGGCCTCAGGCCTCAGCCTCAGCTCCAGCGGCCGGAAGTCGTTGGCAGGCCTCGGCAGCACTGTTAGCACTGCTCCTTTTCACTGCATTTATTTTTTGATTAAACCTTCTACATGTGGCAGATGCTACTAGCTTTCCAATTACGGCGATGATGTAAGGCTCTCTTTGGAAACACACACACAAAGGGCCGGCCAGTTTCCTCGGAGGAGGATGGCTAACAGCGTCCCTCCCCAGGAGCATGGGTTCCCCACACCCCAAGTCTCAGGCGTGTGTCATGCAGTCTGTGCCCCATGGGGGGCTTTTCACACGGTACCTTCTCCGGTCACCCGTGCTGTGCTCCGAAGGCAGCCACGTGCCGGACACCAGCACCCGGAGGCCCAGCTCCACATCACGAAGCTGCCTCACAGCCCCGCCTGGGGTACCTGCCCGGCCTGCCCCCCGGGGGACGGCTCACCTCGGAGGTTCTTGACAAAGTCCTCCAGCTTCATCTTCCGCTCGGGCTTGACGTTGGGGCTGTACATGTCCGTGTTGAGCAGGATGATGGCAAAGGCCAGGATGAAAATGGTGTCTGGGTTCCGGAACTGCCGCACCACCCCAGGGTTGCAGATGCAGTACCGCTGGCTGAGGCCGGAGGGGGCGTGTCAGGGCCGTGGTGCAGCCCGTCCGACGGCCCCCACGCGCTTGGCCCCTGCCCGCCAGCTGGGGCTGCCACGTGCCCCCGAGCCTCGGCTCCTCCACCCGGTGGGGGGATCACGCTCGCCTGGCAGCGCCCGCCCTGACGATCCGCGTGCCCTCCTATACTTGCAGTCTCTTCCACGACTGAGTTCAGTTGGGCACACGGCTGCCCGGGGAGGCTGCGTTTCCCAGCTCCCTGGGAGCTCGGAGCAGCCACACCACTAAGTTCAGCCACTGAGGTGAGTGAATGTGGGTGGGCACCTGCAGGCTGGGCCCGTCTCCCGCCGGCCTGGAGTGGGGATGCCCTCCAGGACCTTGCGTAAAGGGTCCGGACCACCTCCACGCCTGCTCAGAGGAAGCCACACCGCGCCCCGTCTCGGCCATGGCTAAGGCGGGACCTCAGTTTCAGCAGCTGAGACAGCAGGCTGGCCAACTCGCCTGGCCTCACCGAGTCATGCGCTTTCGGTTCCCCCTGCCACTGCCACTCCCATGCCCTGATCCCCACCACCTCCACCCGCAGCCTTGAGGAAGGACGGGTGAGAAGAAGCAGGGGCAGGGCAGAGGAGCAGGCAGAGCACCGCGGCCGAGGGCTACATGCCAGAGGGCTGTAATTCGGTCCTGCCCGTCTGGCTCGGTGCCACCCCTCTCGGAAGCCTGCCTGAAAGGAAGTGGCTGGACACTGCCTGCTCACAGGGCCCTGGGGCTGGCCCCCTCGTGCCCTCGATCCTCCTGACCCCACCACCAGCCCTGAGCCCAGAGGACTGGGTCAGCAGCTGATTCGTATCTCCCGTGCCCAACACTGGGCACAGGGACTCCAACATCGCCAGTCGTCAGGCAGTTCCAGAATAAATGACTGTCATAACAGCTGACCTCAACGGTGGGCTCACCGTCGTGCCAGGCACTAGGTTAGGTATGTCCACACATCTTAGGCCGCTCCACTTGGCCTCCCCCCAGATGGTACATGCTACTGCTAGCTCCACAGGTGAGCAAGAGGCACAGAGAGGTGAGGTAGCCAGCACAAAGTCACAAGGCTGGTAAGCGGTGGAGTTGGGGACTGAACAAGGCCAACTGGCTACAGGGCTTGTGCCCTGAGTCACTGTGACAGGCTGACTGCTCCTTGAGAATGAACACATGAAAGACTAGACAGGCTCAGGATGAAGGGCCAACTAGCAAGGATTTGAAGGAAGGCAGAACACTCAAAATCCTGGCTGAACAGTCAGAATCCGAACCTCTTCCTACTCCAGCTGCCTTACCTTCACAGTTGCAATAAGAAACCCTGTCCCCTCCACCCCACTCATCCCCATGATGGCTGTAAGCAGCCCGGCACCGTGCCTGGAAGGCAGGAGGGGTCGCTCTGAGCGCCCCCAAAGCAACATTCACGCACACCGGACCCTGCCGGGCGACAGAGATGAGGGGTGCTCGGGCCTTGCAGCCGGGGACGCTCGCCCAGCACCACACAGCCCCCCGCCTGAACGCCCGGGACCCAACCTGAAGGCCTCGATGAGCCGCTCCACCTTCTGGGCCTCTCCCTGGACGCGAATGTGCGCCTGGAACTTCCTGAGGGCCTCGTCCAGCTCCATGGCAGAGAAGTCCATCTCGTCCACCACACAGCTGGAACAGAGACAGACAGCCCCGCCTAAGTGGCCTCAGCCCTGGGAGGGGTGACACACCCTGCCCTCCGCCTTCCCCTCAGGTGCCAGAGCATGAGCCTCAAGAGTGTGGGGCATCAAAGGGCCGTCCCCGAGAGCCGTGCAGACGGGTTGCCTGTGGGCTGGGAGGGTCCTCCACAGAGCTCTGTCCAAGCAGCCAAGAACCCTTCAGAACACACCAAAGAGCGCTCCAGCTCCCGGGGAGCCTGGGACCCTTGGAAACTGTAAGAAACGCTGCGCTTATGTTTACATGTGCAGTTTTCCACGGGGGGCAGCGCATATGGTTCTTCTGGATGGGGGCCTTCTCGAGAGACAAACATGCTTAAGCACAGCCATCAGAGCAGCCTGCGGCAGACATTCCTGCAAATTGGCTTCTCTCCTTCTGCGAGGAAGGATGAGTCCTACCATTTGCATGACACAGAAAGGTGGGCCCAGGGCACCAGCCTTCCCCAAAAGCCTGTCTTCTCACGTTGAGAATGGGGGACGGTGGGCTGGGTTTTGCAGGTGTCTTGCAGGGGCATCTTGGGGGGGCAACGCCACCCTCACCTGCAGGGCAGAGCCTGGAGAGGTGGCTGGTGAACAGTTTCTAACCAGCCACATTCCTCTCCTGGCCCAACGCCCAGCACACCCTTCCAGTGTCTCCTATGGTGACCCCTGAACAGAGAAGGTGGGGTCTGCACCAGGAACCCCGAGGGCCGGGACATTTCCCGCCAGCAGCCTCAGGTTTCCGGTTCCCTCTGTAATGAAGCCATGATTACTCTCACCGGGCACAGGCCTGGCCATCCAGGGCCTAGCCGCCTCTCCCAGGACCACTCCCCCCAGGTGCATGGGCTCAGGCACGAGCTGGGACCGCCCCTACCCTTATCGTGGTGCTTAAGGTCTCTTGGGCAACAGCCCCGGAGGAGGCTGCAGGGAGCAGTGAAGACTCCTGGCCAGAATGGAGTAGCTGCCCAAGGGAGGTGGGCTGGGAGGCTCACACTTCCTAAGGACGCTGCTGTTTTCTGACCTGAGAACAATGTGCGGATTTCCTACGGACCCGGGACCGGCTTGGAGGGGCGTGGGGATGGCGCAGGGATGGCCACAGGGGGTGGAAGATGGGAGCTGAACGGATTCACCAAGGAGCTGATGGGCTTCCCCGGAGCCTCACAGCAATTTGCATCCAGTGCGTTTCTGCAGACGAGGCAGGAACAGAAGCACCGGGTGGGGAGAAAGATGCACGGGCTGCATGTGCTTGGCCAAGGAAGGGTGCGGGCGTTCTGCCGGGGGTCTGCCACACTCCAGCCAGTGCCAGAGGCCACAGCTCCCTCCGAGCGCACGTGTGGGGGGGGTGGCCGCACGTGCGGGGGGGTGTGTGTTGAGTCTGTGTTTGTGGCAGGGAGCGCACAGGGCCTTCAAAGCCTCGGTTTCCTCACCGTGAAACACAGAAGGCAGCAGTGCCCACCACCACCTTTCAGGAAAGCAGCAGAGATGGCAGATGCAGACGCAGCCTGGCCCTGGGCAACAGATGGCCACACGCTCCTGGGACCGCCTGCCCTGGGCAGCTGCTGCACCAGGCCTGGCTGGGAGCTGCAGGGACTGCCTTGTCATGGGACGGCTAGCTCTTTACCCTCTCGCTTCTCTCCCTGTGTGGGTCAGAAAGGTCCTCAAACACAGGGCCCGGGTTGTGCCCCAGGCCCCAGAAGGCTGGGTGAGCAGGCTGCCTGGACTTAGCTGGTCTCCGGTTCGTGAGCTCTGGTTTCTTCGCCCGTAAACAGGGCTAACAGGGATGCCCACCCCCACTCTCACAGGGAGAGCACAACTCAGGGCCTGGTACACGGCCGCCGCTTGGTAACACGGGCTGCCTTCCTAGCCCAACAGTGAAGGGAGCTGGAGATGGAAGGCAGACACCGGGCAGCTGTGGTCGGAGGATAAGGCTGGACGCTCGCCCCCGAACCTCCCGGCCAGGAGACGGAGCAGGCAGCAGAGCCCCGGGCGGGCTGCCCACCCAGGGAAGCAGTGGCGTGCACGGGCCCGGCTCTCCCCCTGCTCTCCCTGGGGCCAGTCAGGCACAGCAGAGCCCAGTCCCTGCCGGACAGACCACGGCCAGGCCGGGGGTGGCGCCAGGATCTTCAGTCACCTGCACCTTCCAATCCTGCCGCCCGAGGCTGCAGAACACTCAGTGCTGGCTCGGACCGACCACGCGGTAGGGACGGAAGCACCGAGGGCCGGCGCCAGAGGGAGGGAGGGAGGCCAGCGGGCGAGGCGGCCTGCCTGAGGGCAGGTGCCCCGTGTGTGCTGGGCAAGCCACAGGGGTGTCTGCACAGACATGTCCAGGAGGCGGGCAGAGAGGAAGAGGCAGCACAAGGCCTGGCAGAGAGAGCAGCTGGCACCGCGCGTGCGCGCAACAGTGTGCACGAGGCAGCGGACGGAGCTGGGCCCCGCCTCCCCAGCGCCCCCGCCCAGGACTCACTCGAGCACGTCGCGGTTGAACTGCTTCTGCCGGTTACCCAGGAACTCGCCGATCATCTGCCGGCTGAGGCCCTTGCGCTGCAGCAGGAAGTGCGCCACCCCAACTGGCGTGTCGGGCACGAAGCCACGCTCGATGAGGTACTGGATTCCCTTCTCGGGCTTCCTGCGGGGGGATGAGAGGCACGCTCAGCCCTGGCAGCCCCAGTCCCTCGCCCGGCGTCCGGGGGAGCCTCTGCAGAACGGCCGTCAGCAGCCTCCCTCCCTGCTCACCTGCACCCCCACTCAGGGCACAACCCTGCTCCTCCTCTGCAGCCATTGGGGGTCCCCAGCCCCTTCTTCCACCTGGCTGGGGACACGAGAGCCCAGGCTGGCTTCTAGGCATCCTGCCCTGGCTCATCCCAAAGCCTTCGCCCACAGCCACCCAGACCCTGTGCCAAGAGTGGGCTGGATGGGGCTGGCCAGGGGCGCCTCCACGAGTGCCGGAAAAGACCCTCGCTGCCCGCCCTGCCGGCTCGCCTCCTCAGCCACCTGGGACCAGCCCCGAACACTCGCACTCGCACACGCGACCGGGCTCCCTGTCCTGCCCCATCCCTTGCTCCCTTGCAGCACTTCTGGGCAGGCTGGGGCCCTCCGCCCACTGACAGCCAGCAACAGTCGTGGAATCGAGAGATGAGTGCTTAGTGCTCACTAGCACACTCGGGCACCCAGCACCTCCCCACTGGATCACCACTCCTTGAGGCCAACGCTGCAGTCGGCAGCTCAGGAGCCCGACGGCCAGATGGTCTTGCCAGGGGCCCAAGCTTCCTCTGCTGTAAAATCTTACTGAGTCAGCACAGTGAAATGCCTGCAACGGCCCGCTTAGCAAACGCCACAAAAGGTTTGTCAGCTGAGCCCCAGTGCACAGGAGAGGTGTGAGGGGCAGAGAGGCAAGGTTTCTCACGGGGGCCACAGAGGTAGCCTTGCTGGAAGAAGGCACTGGGCTGCCTCACACGGTTGAGTGTGTCCACAGGGGCATGGCCCCAGAGTACAGGCCGTCTGGACAGGGACAGGCATGCAGCAAATGTCATGAGCTGAAGGGGTCTGGCACCAGACCAGAGCACAGCACGCCTGTCTGTACCTGGCCAGGTGGGGCCTAGTGACTGCAGGTATCACTGTAACCCCACTGCTCACCCCAGCCCTGGGAGCAGGCTGTCCTGAGGCCGCACTCAGGCCATGGGAGCTGAGACCGGCCCCTTCTCCCCTTGGGCCTCTGACTTCCTGCCCATCTTTGGTAGGCCTCGCAGCTGCCTGAACCGGCAGAGAGAGTCGGTCAAAAGAGACTGGGTGGTGTGAGCATGTTTTGAAGATGGCCAACTTGGAGGTGACCCTGGGAGGACAGCTGTCCACCTCAGGGGTGCTTGCAGGCCATTTGGGTAGCTGTGTGGAGTCCCCAGGGCTGGGCTGTGTCAGCAGGCTGGACTGTCCCTCTGTCCTGAGTTCTCAAGGTCACCAAGGGTCACCCAGCAGGTGAGTGCCTCTTCCAGGCAATGTGCTTTCTCACGAGCACATAAGAGGCCCTGTGTGTTCTTCTGTCTGCTGGGTTGGGGGTTAGAGTCAAAGACCAGTGTCCATGTGCCTCCAAATATGTGCAGCTCTCGGCTGACAGCAGCGCCCTGCAGACGCCACATTTCCACGTGCAAGCAAAAGCAAGCCTCCTGGCTGCAAGGTGACCTTGGCTAATTTTAGCCCAGGATGACCACCCCCCTAAGCTTTCCCCCCAGTCGTGTGGCAGGGAGCAGCCACTGGCCTGCGAGGTCCTGGAAAGCAAGTAGAAGTGGAGGGACCCTGCCCCTGCCCGTGTGGGGCTGCTCCAGACAGAAGGACCAGGGGTTCCACTGCTCACTAGTGGATGCCACCACCTCACTTCACCCTGCAACTTGGGGGTCTCCCAAAAACCGCCCCGAGCCCCACGGCCTCTCCCGCCGACGCCCTGGGCAGCGCCAACTGGCTGTCCTCGCTGCCCTGCGCCACGCCAGCCCCAGGCCCAGCCCACATCCTCCCTCCCTGCCTCGGTCTCCAGGGAAGGGTCTCCACAGCCAGCTCACAGATGGTTTTCTCTGGCCCACAAGCTGTCAACAAAAAGAATTCTAGTTTGTTGCCAATACTGAGAAACTAAGAGTATGCAGAGCAAGTGTGGATTTCTGGGTTCTTCTGAAAAACCACAGCTTCTGGCACTCGTGGGCCTGTGCTCCCATGGAGCAATGCCCACAGGGCTGCACGGGGCTGTCCACACCCAGCCGCCTGGTCCCTGCCCCACCATGGTGGGTGCGCCCTCCGTCGCAGCTGCCTGATATCTCAGGGCTGCTCACAGGGTGCCCAGGGCCGGGTCCCGTGGGCTTCCACTTCCTGTCACTTGCCTGGGAGGCGGCCGCTCTCCCTTCTCTGCCCCCGTCCACCCCTGCCTGTGTTTTCACGCCATATCCAGGGACTTCCAGGACAAGTCTCCTCAGTCCTGTAGGAGCTTAGAGGGCAGTAGGAAGAGCAGAAGGTGCTTCAGGAAGCGAGGCTGCATGCAGGCCGTGGGAACACAGGCTCTTTGGGGATCAGTAGGGGTCACGTGTCTGCTGCACCAGGCATGGCTCTGGACAGCACAGTGAACAGAGCCAGCGTGGGTGCCCAGCACCCCAGCAGACAGGTCCAAGCCTGGTCTCAGCCACCGTGGGGCAGAGTAGAGGCCTTCTCCAGGTGGGTGGTCAGGGAGGCCACAGTGAGCACAAAGGCCCCGAGGTGGGTGGGAAGGTGGGGGGGCAGGACACAGTCTGAGTGAGGCGGAGCTGCCAATATTTGCTGATTGATGAATCTGCGGGGGCAGGTGGGCAGGAGGGGGAGGGGTGGAGAGGAATGAGTCCAGGATGTCTCCAGCAGGAATGCAAGTGGGAGGGACTGACTCCACCGGGCAGGTTTCAAGGGTGATGTCGCAGAAGAGAGGAATCCGCTCCGAGGGGCCTGGACCAGTACCGGGGAGCTCGTCGGGCACCTGTGAGGGGAGCCAGGCACAGGCAAGGAAGACCGGAGCAGGCTCCAGGTCAGCAAGGGAGTCTCTGAACGGCTCCTCACAGGGGGTGGCCGGTGGCCTCCTAGAGAGCCGGGGCACTGGGTCCTTGCTCGTGTGAATCCCCTGCTCGTTGGAGACCTGCTGCCCCTCCACCTCCTAGCCCTTCCTCGCAACCTACTCCTGGTGGCCCTGCCAGGTGGTGAGCCCTCGACCCACCGACTCCCGTGCAGAGCTCCGTCATGTCTGCTCAAGGAGCACATGCCCCATGGCCGCACACACCCCAGGAAGGCTGCTGGTGATGCCTCCCCAGGTCCCCACTGCCTGCTCCCACACAGGATGGCACGGCCCCTCCCTCTCCGGTGCGGGACGGGCTTTGCATGATGAGCTGTGAGCCAAAGGGGTGTGTGCCACTTCCAGGGGCGCTGTGCGGTTCCCCAGCTGCCCCCCACCTTCTTCATTCGTCCCAAACATTCCCGAGTACTCGCCCTGGGCCAGGTGCTGTGCTGGCCCACTTCCTGCAAGCCGAAAAGACATGCTTTCTCGTGGGGAGGGATGAGGAGGGAGCTATGCTCTGAACGTGTGGGGACACATTGCAGCACAGAGGGCGAGGGAGTGAGGTGTGGGAGCCAGAAGCCGGGGCTTATTCAGGCTCTACTTACTGGCCAGGGGACCCAGGGTGAGTCACTTAACCTCCCTGAACCTCTGTACAACGGAGATAACAGCGCACACCACCGAGTTACTGTGAAGAAGACGTGAGTTAATGCACTGAGGCACTATGCGTCTAAGCCCTCAGAAACATGGCTGCTCCACAGCCGGAAGGAAAGGCCGGGGCAAGGGAGAACTAAAGCCAGATGATGCCACCGCAACCTGGGAAGGCAGGGCCCGCAGCTGGAGGGCAGGAGGGTGGGCAGAAAGGCCTCCCTGACAAGGTAGCACTGAGCCTGGAGCCAGGAAGAGGGTCCCTGGCGGAGGGAAAGGCCAGCACAAGAGCTTTATTTGACAGCTAACAAAGTGGCAGCACAGAAAGGTCAAGTAACATAGCTCTAGGTGACTCAGCAAGACAAAGAGGACTGGGACTGTCAGCCCATCCTCGGCCCTGAGAAGTCTCTAGAAAGTCCCTCTACCCTCCCCTGTGTCTCTGCTGTTGGAGAGCCACTCTGTTCTGCGCTGGAGTCAAGCCAGTTTCCAGAGACACCTGCAGTCTCTCCGTGTAAAACTCCCATTGCCCCTTCCCTTGTCCTTCTCAGATCCACCTGAGGACCCTGACCGCCACGCCCTCACCATGTCCACTGGCCCACCCCCACACCCCAGGCGCTGCTATCTCCCCGAAGCACTCTGGCAGGCACAGGCAACAGGAGAAGCCCCAGCCCCAGGTCTGGTGTCAGCTGCCTCTTCTCAGGCTGGCCGAGCCAGCTTCCTCTGACACCGATGCAGAGTCAGACTCAAGTGTGGCAGGCAAGCAAAGACCGCACCAGTCACTCCCTTCACATGCATTGGTCTCATCACTCAGGAGAGCTGAGCTGTCGGCGGCAATAGTGAGCAGCGCGAGGCTCTGGCAAGTGCAGGGACAAGGCCACGGACTGTGCTTAAGGAACGCCTACCTGCTGAAACCACATGCTGGCTGTTTTCCCGAGCTTTTCTCAGCATAGTCAAGAAAATGGCTCTCCAGTCTTTTTATACTTATTTACTTTTTGAGTCGGAGTCTCACTCTGTCGCCCAGGCTGGAGTGCAATGGCACGCTCACAGCCACCACAGCCTCGACCTGCTGGGCTCCAGTGATCCTTCCGCCTCAGTCTTCCAAGTTAGCAGGAGCTACAGGCATGCACTACCACACCTGGCTCATTTTTCTGATTTATTGTAGAGACGAGGTCTCACCATGTGGCCCAGGCTGGTCTCGAACCCTTGGGCTCGGCCTCCCAAGGTGCTGGGGTTACAGGCTTCAGTCACCGCACCCAGCCTGTTTTGATTTTTTTGAAACGATGGAGTCTTGCTCTGCAGCCCAGCCTGGCCTCAAACTCTGTCTCACATGACCCCCATCTCGGCCTTCCAACAGCTAGAACTACAAGCACATGCCACCACGCCCTCCACAGTCCTGTTTAATTGTTCAAGCTGCCTCAGAGATGTGGGAG